TGATGATCAATTATGAAAGCAAGAAATTATAATAATTTGAAATAAAGAAAAATAAATTTATTTGGAACTAACAAAAACAGACGAATTTATAACTGATATAATATAACAAAACATAAAAACAGTAAATTAACAAAAGTAGCAGTTCTTTAAAAAAACGTGTTATATGAAACCACCTGTTAATGGTGCGATGTAACAAAAATGGATATTTATTATCTTTCAATCACGCCTCTAAAGCCGGCCGAGTTTTAATTAAATTAGGCACAGCAGTCGATTATGTCATGGAAAAGGACATATGATACTTTCTATAACAATTACTAATAAAGCTTAATCGAGCCCATCGAGATACACAAAGAGAAACAAACAGCTAGTGATTCTATGTTTAATTTATTTTATGTGTGCTTATAAAAGTATTATAAAATTAAAATATGTTAGAAATATTCACACTTCTGACGTTAACGTCAGAAGTGTGAATATTTCTAATATATTATTTGTTTTAATTACCTACTCTAAAAATGTAGCTAATATTATAAATATGAAAGTTTGTTAAAATGTTTGGATGTTTGTATATTTACGACTGATTCATCCATCACAGCCTAAGTCCACTGCTGAACATAGGCCTTCCCATAGATTGTCTAATTGGGAGATTTTGCCATAGTTATCACCCTTACTAGGTGCGGTGGCAACCGCAGTTTTTTTTATTAATTTGAGTTGTTATCAGGAAGATGCTATGGCCAAAATGAATATTATCAACAAATAGCAAAAACATAATTATATATAGACATTTTTTTTGTAAAAAAGTAGTTTTAATCTTTGCCAAAAATATTAAGAAATACCAATAAAAAAATATTGTTATTTGGGATAGTCTTCTTCTCTTGGGTTGTGCTATCTAAACTATAATAGAAAAAATGATATATTATTTAATAAAAAATTTAAACCCCCCGAAGAATAGAGCTGATTATCTTCGTTCGGCTAAAAACTGACACCTTTCAAACAAAAAAAATCTAAATCAAACGACAGATCAAAAAAACGAAAAAAAATTGCTAGTATTGTGGACGCATTTTTTTTATAGGATACGTGTGACAAACAAGTACACAGTCCACCTGATGGTAAGTGGTTGCTGCGGCCCATAGACATCTACATATATCCTCTATTACAAATCAAAATGCAGATGCGTTGTCACCCGTGAGGACTAAGATGGAATGCCTCATTTCCAGTAAAATTCCACGGCCACCTGCACTCACCAAGTGAAACGCAGAGGTAAACCTCTACTTCATACATCCTGGTATTCTGTGAGGTCGTGGTACCACTCCAGTTCTAGACGGCACATCCGTGCGACAGCAAAAGCCGCCACGTGGCTCTACCACTGTTAGTGTTAGAGCCACGTGGCGGCTTTTTATAGTATTATTAATAGATTGATATCTCTGTATACTGACGGGTATTTTATTTAGTGAATATTTAGTTCTTATATAATTGAAATAAGATATTTTGTTTAGATAGCATTGTTATATAATGGAAACAAATTACACATGAATATGGCGACATCCGGTATTTTACAAAACTCGTACCTAGATGGCGATATGTTCATTACAAATCGCCCAATAACAGTTTTAATCTATACAAATAAAGAAAATTGAAGTGTCTGTTTGTAATGTCAAAATAACAGCTTTTTAGTAAATACATTTGAACGTATATTATACGGTACTTATAACAAAAACGTAATTTATAAAATTTTTTGTCTGTCTGTCTATCTGTTTGTCGGTCTGTTTGTTTGTTCCGACTAATCTCCGAAACTGCTGGACCGATTTCGATGGTACTTTCACTGTTTTACAAAAGGAATTAGGGTTCCGAGCAACATAATTGAAACCCTAAATTACACGCGGGCGAAGTCACGGGGAGCAGCTAGTATCATAATATATTTTACGTGGTAGAGCCACGGTACAGCTATATTAATTGTAGCACGAACGAGTCAGCTCGAGGTGCAACGATTCTGCTTGCGCCGTCGCACCTCCGTGCGGTCGTGTGCTGGCGGGGCCCGCTAGCTGACCGAGCACCTGTTCCCGTACGGGAATTCCTCGGTCGGTTTAGTCTAGGGATAGAACGTCAGTCCTGTCCTGTCCCGTCCCGCCCCGCCGCAGCTAGCACCACCGCTCCCGTGCGGTTGTGTTAGCTGTCCACGCTCACCGTCCCCGTACAGTGGGTTCCCTCCTGCCTCCGCTAGCGCCGCCGCCCCTGTGCGGTTGTGTTAGCGGTCCGCGCTCATCGTCCCCGTACGGTGAGTGCGCCCTCCCGTCTCCGCTAGCGCCGCTGCCCCCGTGCGGTTGTGTTGGTTGACCCCCGACGGTGTATACCCCACGCCCCCTTCCCTAAGGGGGGTTGTTTCCGATACGGCGGAGAGGCCATTTAGGCCAGAGCCAGTCCCACTGGTGGTGTTTAGTGGGTAGGCACTTCTTCAAAGTGAGTCCCACATGACCACGCAGCCGGCTGATTGGTATGCTATGAGCATTCACCACCTCCCTCCCCCGCTTCCGGAGGGTAGCCTTGCATTAGGCGCAAAAAAAAGAGTCCGCTCGACCGGGGTAGGATCACGCCCTCAGAGAATACCAGCGTAAAATAGCAGCGAACTGCTGTGTTTCGTGTTGTGAGTGTAAAGAACCGGGGACCCCTTTTACTGGAAATGAGGCATTCCATCTTGGTCGTCAGAGGTGACAATTCATCTGCATTTTAATTCTTAATCGAGGTTAAATGTAAATGTGTATGGGCCACAACATCACGTTTGTCACCCTTATTCTATAAAAAACCTACATAATAATAAAAAACGTTCAATATAATCTGTTTTAAATTGAAGAAGATATCACGTAACACATACATAAAAGAACATACAGTCAGGTTGAAAACCTCCTCCTTTTTTGAAGTCAGCTAATAACGATATTCACTTTCCATCTGTTAAATAAATAAAACTTATGTGCAGTACTCGCGTAATTTATATAAGAAATCATAGACTGTTGCCCTAACCCTCTGCTAATAAAATGATAGATAGACAAAGAGAAAGTTTTACTAAGTTCCTACGTGCGGAAATTTACCTTACAGTTTTGGTATGCTATTACTTTCGAAAGCTTTATAAGAACTTTACATTTTCCCTAGTCAACTTACGTCTTAAGTTGTCCATCTGAAAAGAGAATTAAGCTTCTAGTAAGAACAAATACTCAACTTCATTTTGCTCTAACTACTTGATCTGATCTTTTAAGAAACTTCGGACTTGGATTCCCACATCGGCAATGTCGTTACTTTGGACTAATGATATTGACACTATATCTTACGTAAGTTTCTGGTAGCCTGTTAAATTAATAAACAATAGTATAACGATTATATTTAAACTAATTTTATGGATTTTAATTTATATACATAAGAGTAACAAACAAGAACACAGTGCACCTGATTCACTTACCGTGAATGCTTTGGGTCATAGATATCAACATCTACACTATATTAAAAAACAAAATGTGAATGGGCTGAGACCCCTAAGGATTAAAATCGATCGCCGCGGCATAGTTAAAAAGGTCTTCGGTTCTCTATACTCACGGGATACACAACATTAAGCTGCTATTTTATGCTGGTATTTTGTGAGCGAGTTGTTCTTCCCTGTGCTGCAACTATGAAATAGTTGCAGTGTGGGTCTACCATGGGGTAAGACCAGACTTATCCAAGCATGATCCTACCCCCAGCGTGAAATAGCAGAATAATACTACTGTCTTTAGTATGGTGAGCTTAAAGAACCAAAGTCCCTTTTTACTAGTAACGAGGCATTCCTTGTTAGTCCTTGGAGGTGACAACGCATCTGCATTTTGAATCTCAATCGACGATAGATATAGATGTCCGTGGGCATAAAATCCACTTACCATCAAGTGGATTATTTGCTCTTTGTCACTCTTATTCTATAAAAAGAATAATAAATGAGCTAATAGTCAACCCATAGTTAGTGGCTACTGCAGTCCATGTGTATACTCGTAGAAACGAACTTTATATGAAAAACACGAAACGTATACTACTATAATTTACTTAAAATAGGAACATAACAATCATGCACTTCCCTTGATTTTCTGCCGTCTTCCAAAAAGGAGACGGTACGCAATTCGACTGTATGCTTTTTTATTATGTGTGTTACCTCATAACTTTTTACTGGGTGGACCGATTTCGATGATTCTTTTTTTATATGAAAGCTATTGATCAAGGTCATACCAATAGTTTTTGAGTTATTCTTAATAACTTATATTGAAGTCGGCTGTACAAAATTTTTAATTTTAAATTATTTATGAGTCAGTTAAATCCACCGCTGAGCATAAAAAGATTTACCGTAATCATTACGCCTGGCAGGCGTGTCTACGATCCCAGTACACTTAAAATCCTACAACCAAATAGTACAAGTGCAAAGGTATGATAGATAACTTTAATCTTCTTTGCTTTGATAGATGCAGCGAATGTCAGGTAGCTATGACAATTTCATTTCCTTGCAGCCATATATTACGAATTATCGTGATCATAATATCTAGGTAACTGTTTCATGTAGCCAAGTTAATCTTCCTAACTAATTCTGGGGCTGACTTTTCAACCGACTTAAAAGGGGGAAGTGACTATAGGGAAGAGATGTGTATCAGTTGGAAAGAAATTTTAAATCATGTTGTATGCAAAATACTTGCTTTGAAGTTATGTAATCAATTTTTAAATAGCCTATTATTGTAGCAAAAATACGCGGGAAGTTGGACTTTTATTGTAATACATATTGTATAGTATCATTAAAGTATATGAATCAATTTAACTATGTTTTTTTTATAAAACTATATTTTCACAGTAAATCCACATAAGTTTCGAAAAAATCTTATAATAACTAAAATCGTCTAAGATATGATATATATTATATGCAGGTATAAAATGTATAGAGCTGTGTCACGGTGTTGATGTATATATATATATTAACTTGAGTAAATAGTACTTTGTTTTCACAGGCATCGGCGGTCTTCGGGCAACAGAACTTAGGATCTCCCCGCCGGTGGTACAACGCGGATCAGACGCGACACTTGCCTGTTTATATGAGCTTACTGATGCACCACTGTACTCGGTGAAGTGGTACAGAGGGCGACACGAATTCTATCGTTATTCGCCGACAGAACAACCGGCAACCAAGATCTTTCCGTTTGCGGGCATTAACGTTGATGTAAGTGATATTGGTTTAATTAGAATAATATGTATTATTCATTCATTTATGTATTATAGTTTTAAAATATTTTTACTTGAAACATTATTATAAAGTAGGTATAGTAACAGCCTACAAACGTTACCGCTGTTGCTAGGTCCTCGTATTTCTGGGAGAGTCTTAACTCTCCCAGAAATACGAAGTAACTAAATATTATACGCTCCTTACATTGTTTCAGCAATTTATATTTCTACGGCTCCAAACGTTATTCTTTAATTATCTATATGTTTAATATATAAATAAAGTTTTTGAATAATTACATTTACTTTCAATTATCTATTCAAGCTTGTCAAAAATCCACTGTTTTACTACTCCGTTCTACACGATCCATTCTTGCTACAACTTATATCGCTGCAGCGTGGTTCTACCATGTGTATAAATTATTTGATGATGATTTTTTATCCGGAAGATATTGCTTCAGTATCTCTCTGCCGCCTCTTATGATATTCACGAAATGAATTCCCATGGTGCCGCCACTACACGGCACTGACCCATAGATATTTATTCTCGCTTAAAAATCTAGATGCAAACGCTTTGCACTACTGACCAGTAAAAAGAACTCTGTTTCGTCACTAACCATACGAATCTCAACAGCGTTATATTGCTAAGTTACGTTGATATTCTAAGTAGGCGCGTTCCTTCCTAACTCATTTGTCCAGATACCATAATACTGCTTCAACTTAACTCTAGCCTATTTAAAGTATTAAACACACACACACACACACACACAACACACACACACACACACACACACACACACACACACACACACACACACACACACACACACACACACACACACACACACACACACACACACACACACACACGAACACACACACGCACACACACACGCACACACATACACACACACACACACTAAATAGTAGAAAAACATCCTTCTTTTAGCAAAAACAAATAATATACATTTTCTTTAAATATATTACAAATTTCAAAGCCATAAACTATTACTAACAAAACGTAATATAAAGTCTTAAAACGTTTTTTATTAGTATTATTATATATCTTTTCATCGAGCGGATTAAATTATGAATGTAGGTACCGATACAAAATATCGTATGAAGTGATATAATCAGTGGATAACAGTATTATCAAACGATCGAATTTGATCTAATTCCATCCAAACGATCCAAAAAAATAGTCAATTTTTTTATATAAAATGTAACAGTGTAAATATTTTCAATTTATTTTTGACTACTTTCATTAACTGACTTCAAATATGGAGTGCATGGATGCAGAGATTCAGATGGCTTAGGGTCTCAACTTGTAGTTATTTATGGAAAGGCGAATGTGATGTTGAATATTATATCTATAAAACAATAATATTAATGTAACGAATATGTGAAGATTTTGATATAGTAGTCACTTATTTACGTAATCGCGCCATTACAGAAAATGAAACATGTTTTCAGTCAGGCTTATTATCGGTTTAGCTACGACGGACTTAAATCAAGACGGTTAATAATCAAAGCATTTTTGGACACTCCTCTTACTGTACCTTTTTGCTATTGCCAAATAGAAATTGCCTTTGAAATTAAATGTCTGGAATGTTAGTTAATTAATCTGCTTTATTTTGAATTATAACTAAGCGTCCTATTACACAAAGCGCGCTCGCTTCAACGCCTTCAAACAATATTCTATATAATACAATGTTATTGTTATCGTTGAATCCTTTGTTGCAATGACATTTGGATTAATCAATTAATGAATATTTTCCCTTTTTGGGGATAATTATACCAATTCACTTGAAATATTGAAAAGCTCAGCTGAAAGTGACTACGACTATTAGATCTTCTCTACTCTACGACTACTCTCTCTGACTACGACTATTAGATCTATTAGAACTTATCATGACTGTAATAAGGTTTTGTACGTCCGTACGTATTTAAAATAAGTTATATGACTTTCATAAAACATTAAATAGGTACATAGTTACATAGATGAAACTTACATCTCTCTTGTAAGCTTTGTGTGATGAGCTGTCAGTAGTTATTGTAGTTTATTAATGACTCTAGTATGGTTCTGGTTCAACATAAAAAAAACCTAAACTATGTTCTAAATCAACCTCAATATCTTAGGAAATTTTCTGTAGATTATGTCTTACACATAAATTTTGATATTTTTAAGACCTTCTTGTATAACATAAATAAAAAAACTTAATTTATATCCGCTCAACCCGTACTATTGTAAAACTAAATTGACAGCTTGGCTAAAGATCCTATTTTACGATGATATTAAAAATGAAGACAACACTACAACATTGCAACCTAGAAATTAAATAAAAATTCACGTTATATATAATTTATATACATCATTATGTTTCTATTATCAGAGTACATACATCTTTTTACGTATAAATATTAATAAGCTGACTAAATTATTTCCAGAATAAATAAATTATACCTATAACTAAAAACAGGTTTGCGCATTACCATTAAAAGAACCCCTTTGTCGTATCTTCTCATTTTCAGGACACTCCCCTTGTTGTTTCAGTCGCATCGGAATCCTTTGCGTCAACATATCGGATGACGTTTAGTTCTGCGGTCACCTGGAAGAGAATACCAAATTAGGAAAGCTTGCCATGTTTAGGATAGTATTTCTTGCCAGCACACCAATTGCAAGTTTACAATGCGATGTTTGGTTTCAAATGGAACACTGTTCTCATCTCTGGCCCGAGGCACTCCAGTGCCAGCTCTTTCCACTTCTAGCGCAGAGTGGCTCGAATCGTCTACAATAGAGTTTTTACTGATAGCCTTGACTTACTGGCTCAGCGAATAGACATTGAACTCCTCTACATATTCTCGCGTCGGAGTTACGAGGAAGCAAGAGGAGTACTTAAAGGAATTGTTAGGGCTAATTACATCTACTAAATTTAAATATCGCATCATTGCGACAAAACTCGCGATATCTTTTATACCATCTAGATGATATTGGCGGTCCACCACTGTGCGATAAACTAGAAATTTTATTCCTTGCATCACTTCTTTGTGGAATCTACTACAACCAAAAATTATTCCTGACTGATACGAGTTAGGCATCTTCAAGAATAGAGCCCAATCTTTCTCAAAAGGGCGGCAATGCACCTGCAATTTCCCTTTTGTTCAGTTGTTCATTGGCGGCGGTAGTCACTCACTATGAAGTGAACCGCGTGCTCCCTTGCCTCATAGATAGAAAATAGATAGAAAATTATCTCACAAAAAAATTAGCTAACCTTTGATAGTGCGGTGAGAGCTATGTGCCTAATGTTTCTTCATTATGTCAATAAATATATTATGTATTAAATTATAAGTAATACTTCACTGCACGGAAAAATAAATAAAAATAAATGTCACAAAACACGGTCATGTGCTACCTGCATTTCTTACCAGGTCGTCACTCCCTTTTGCGTAGGCCACCCTACACTTCGCTGACGCCAAATACATACAAAAGTAACCATTAATATCGTGATTAAAAATTTCGAACAGTTAACAGTCTTCAGGTACTACCATTCTGCCATCGTTAATATACAATATGTTGCAGAAACCAAAACAATATGTTGCAAGTCCAATCTATGATGGTGCTTTCTGGTATTGTGCAATGATTAACTTCATGTAATCCTACTAGAACATAATAAATCTACTAGAAAATAAATAAAAATATCCGGAATAAAATTTAAAAATCAGGAAACTTATATATGCTTATAACGTATATTATTTGAATGTATTTAATGCCAATACATGCAGTGCAGGCAGCCATCGTTTCACAATACACATTTTAAAAAAATGTTGATATATTTGCAAACTGTAGTAAAAATATGTATTTTGTTAAAAATAACATTTTTATATTCATTAAGTATAATATTATGATGTTTCAATTTTTTTTTTGGTAATGTAGTTGCTGTACCTACATATGTACATAATAATACAAGACGCAACCCTATGTCTACATAAGTTAAAATATATTTTAGTATTTTTCGATTGAAGGAGGCAAATTTTTGAATGAACTGATTTCTCCTAGAATGTTCGAGATTTCTCTTATTGGGTATAAAAGCATGCGTCGGCGATCGGAGAGTGAATTATATAGGCTGCACTAAAAGTATCGGGAATGGAATATTTCCACTGTTCCTGTCATATAAAAATTTTTTATTTGAAAAGACCTTGGTTTTAAAAATCGAATACCATTTATTTATTTAAAAAAAAGATTCTCGGTCTTGTCACAAGGTTTTGTCAAACTTGTTTAGTCGTTGAGAAAATGGAATTGACTCGAGAAAATTCAAGAGCGATGATTTATTATTACCTTCGAAGTGGTTTAACACAAAAACAGTGTGTTGACCGGATGATTTCTGCATTTGGTGATGAAGCCCCATCCAAAACCACAATTTATCGCTGGTATGCTGAATTTCAACGTGGACGTGTCAAGCTCAGTGATGATCCCCGTCAAGGTCGTCCAAAAACTGCAGTCACCCAAAAAAACGTTGATGCTGTGTGTAAGCTGATTGAGGAAGATCGACATGTGACATACCGCGAAATTTAGGCAACTTTAGACATTGGCATGAGTTAAATACAAATAATCTTGCATGAACAATTAGGTGTAAAAAAGTTGTTTTCCCGATGGATATCGCATTCGCTCTGTGAAGAGCAAAAAGCGGCTCGCGTTACTTGGTGCGTCAGAACTCTCGAAAGATTCCACGCAGGATCCTCAAATGCTGTATTCAACATCGTATCAGGTGACGAATCCTGGATATACGCGTACGAACCCGAAACAAAAAACCAGTCACGAGTTTGGGTGTTAAAAATGAGTTAAAGGTTAAAGCCAACAAAAATTGTTCGTTCACGGAGTGTTGCAAAAAAAATGGTGGCCACGTTTGTCTCCAAAACCGGCCATGTTACGACTATTCCTCTTGAGGGACAAAGAACGGTTAATGCAGAATGGTATGCTAGCATTTGTTTGCCACAAGTCGT